TTTCTTTTTGCTTATGTGGTGCTGAGGAATCGAACCCAGGGCCTCATGCATGCAAGGCAAGTGCTCTACCACTGAGCCACCTTCCTAGCCCCTCTGGGCAGATTTTTAAAAGCTGTGAGACTCCAAAATAAAAAGCCAGAAGTGGCGCTTGGCTCAAATGGTAGAGTGCTAGCCTTGAGCAAAAAGGAACTCAGAGATAGTACCCCAGAGTTCAAGCCCCAGGACTGGCAAAAAAAAAACCCAAAAAACAAAAGCACAAAAATTGGGCAGGGCATGGTGGTATACAGCTGTAATCCCAACACTCACAAGACCATGGAAGAAAATTTACAACTTTTGAGGCCAGTCTAGGAAATTCCAAGCCAGTCTAGATTTACAAAGCAATAGTCTCAAAACAAAAGCAAAAGCAAAAACAAAAAAAACCAACCAAAAAAAATCTCACAAAAATTTAACAGCATACAATTTTTAAATTTTAGCACTTCCTCTCTGCTATAACCAATAAGTGCTGATATCAGCAAAATCTGTTATTAAAAGAAAGTTCTAGGGTGACACCTGACTAGCTTCTGAAGGAACTGCACCACAAGCACTTGGAAACAGGTGAGCTGAGAGTGACTGGGCAGAAGCGAAAAGGAAAAGCAAAACCCAGAATCACACTGACCGGATGTGTGAAGCCCCCACTGGCAGTGAGACGCTGGTGGGCATGCTGAGGTTCCCTTGGGGCACGGCGGGGGGAATGGGTTTTTGGGGTCGGCGAGGTCCACGCCTTCTCTTCTTCTTGTGTTTTTTGGTAAGTGCAGGAGGCTTGGTTTTTTTCCTGGGTTTCCTCTGCTGCTGGTGCTGAACTTTACGGGAGTTATCTCCTCTCAAGAAATTATCCTTTGGAATGAATGAGTTGTTTTTTAAAACTGAGATTATTCATTGGTCAAATTACTTCCCCTTCCCTCTTTAGGGGCTATCACACAATAAAGCGATTCTAGATAGCATTTATTTTGGTTACATCAAAAAAATAAAACCAGAACAAAAGATTTTAAAAGCTTTACCATAAGGAAATGACTTAAATATATGAGGAAACAGATTTAAACTGCTATAAATTCTTTTTTTTGGGGGGTCTGGTTGTGGGGCCTGAACGCTGGGCCTGTGCGCTGTCCCTCAGCTCTTCAACTCAAAGCTAGTGCTCTACCACTTGAGCCACAGGGCCACTTCTGGCTTTTTTTTTCCTTTTTGCTTATGTGGTGCTGAGGAATCAAACCCAGGGCCTCAGGCATGCAAGGCAAGTGCTCTACCACTGAGCCACCTTCCCAGCTCCTAAACTGCTATAAATTCTATACAAAAAATATATGTATTAAAACATCACTTTATGCCATAATATGAAAATATCTTATGGTTTTATTTCGTTAATTTAATCATAAAAACCTGAGATAATCTGTCAAAAATTTAGTTACCTAAGTATTTAGATCTATTATAGATTTTTTTTTTTTAGTGGGATGTGGGGCTTGAACTCTGGGTCTGGGCACTGTCCCTCAGCTCTTCAGCTCAAGGAGAACACTCTACCACTTGAGCCACAGTGCCACTTCCAGTTTTCTGAGTAGTTTATTGGAGATAAGAGTCTCAGTACTTTCATGCCCAATTGGCTTTGAACTGTGATCCTCAGATCTCAGCCTCCTGAGATCTGATTACAGGCGTGAGCCACCAGCGCCCAGCCTATAGATTTAAAGCTATTTATAATGACAGTTGAATAGGCAAGAGATTAATTTATCTCATATCAATTCAACATAATATGTATGTTTGTATACATATGTATACGGTCAATCATGCATTTAAAGACACTGTGAGAGCTGATTGGCTGTGTAGCTCAGTGGCAGAATGCTTGCCTAGCAAGTACAACACCTCAGCTTCCATCCCCACCACTGGGAAGAAAAATACTGTACACAATTTGTGCTATCAAAGGACTTATACTCTCCTATGAGAAAAACATGTATACATTACAGAATATAGAAAACTGAACAGTGATGATATAAATACTTCCTATGGATACAGAAAAGCAAAATTAGTTATCTTCAGTTTTGTTAAAGGGTAACAAGATTTTATGTGATTGGGTAAGGAAGACAATCATTTTAAGGTAAATGAAAAAGCACAAATGAGAAAAAAGAACACCTAAGAAGTTTGGGACCAGAGCATGTTATAACCTTGGCAATAAAGAGTCACTTTTGCTCAACAAGTATTTTTGTTTTGTTTTAAATTTATTTATTGTTATTATAAAGGTGATATTCAGAGGGATTACATTTACATGTGTCATGTAATAAGTACATTTCCTTTTGTACAGTGTCACCTGTTCCCTCACTCAATTCCTTCCTTCCCATCTCCACATACAAGTTGTATAGTTCACTTTCATCAATGTCCACTGTGCTCCACTGCTGCTTTTCAGCCCCCTTCACTCACATTCTGTGCCTTCCTCCCACAGATATGCATTTGAATATACCACATTATTATTTTTTCTGGCATGGGGCTTCAACTCCGTACCTGGGCACTGCCCCAGAGTTCTTTTACTTAAAGCTGGTGCTCAACCACTTTGAGCCACAGTGCCACTTTCAGTTCTCTGGTGATTAAGTGTAGAAGAGTCTCATGGACTTTCTTGCCCCAGCTGGCTTTGAACTGTGATCCTCAGATCTCAGCCTTCTGAGTAGCTAGGATTACAGGCATGAGATACCAGTGCCTGGATTCAAAAGATACCTAGCTCACAATAACTGTAAAAACAATATTAAAAATGTCATCTCTTGCCCACCACTCCCATGCTGAGGAATCATCCTGAAATTTTTGAATATCGTAGCACCTTGGAACCTCATAGATTTGGGATGTTCAGATTAAGGGTATTTAACCTACACTAAAAATCTTCTAAAGCAATGTTTTGGGTTAGTTGCTTAGTGAGGATCTAAAATTAATTCCGTAAGTCATCATTAGGATTTTTTTTAATTAGGTAAAAAAAAAAAACTCACTGGAAAACTTCAAGTAATAAAAACAGTTTTTGCAAAACTTATTTCAGTGATGCATACCCAACAGTTTGTACTGTATCACAAGGTATTTCCTACTGGGAAGAAATGTCACAGGTTTGAAAACTTTTACTGCAGGAAATAAAATCTGAACTTACCATTTTTTTGGCATGTTCTTCACACAGAGGTGTCTGGTGGGTAATGTCAAAAACTGGCACAGAGCACTGCTGCCCATCTGCGAACTTGGCAGTGCAGCTGGAGAAGAGCTGCTGAGAGCGGTTCAAGAGGATATCTAGAGTTTGCAAGTTAGGAGTAAAATATACCATGATTCTTTGCTTCCATATCTGGATAAAATTTGCTACTTTCCTTACGTATAGTGCATGTCTATGAATTATTTGTAACAGGTAATATCCCAATCAAACCGCTGGTACAGGAAAATGACAGCACCTGCAGGAGTCTGTTTTGCTAATAATGGGCTCCTAAGGCAAATCTCTATTAATAATACTATTCTGAGCCAATTTCAGATATTTTGAGGAGGATCATTTCTTCTTAATACAGTCCTCAAATCTCCACCAGAAAGATTTTCTTTAGCCAGGCCCTGCTGGCTCACACCTGTAATCCTAGATACTCAGTAGGCTAAGATATGAGGATCACAGTTTGAAGCCAGCCTGGGCAGGAAAAAAAAGAGGCTCTTATATCCAATTAACCACCCAAAAGCCACGGTAGAGCTGTGGCTCACAATGGCCAGGTAAGAGTTCAAGCCCTAGGACTGGCACCAAAAATAAAATGAAATAAAAAGTGACATACATAGCCAGGAGTTCAAGCCCCACAACCACTACCACCACCACCAACAACAACAACAAAAGATTTTCTGGTGATTCATTCTATAATCCTAGTTACTCAAGAGTCGGAGATCTGAAAGACTGTGGTTAGATAGTAACCCTATCTCAAAAACAAAAGAGGGGAAAAATACAAACATGGGAAAAAATACAAACATGGGAAAAAATGTAAACATGGGATTGAAATGCAGCATGAATTTACCTAGCATGTCCTACCTTCAATCCCTAGTACCTCATTATTAGAAAAAAGAAATAGGCAGCTCAAAACAATAAATGCTTTTCCAATGCCTGTTCAGTTTAGTTAAAGGATACGTTGGAAACAATGTCTAGTGAATGGAAGGACTTTGTTAGTGCACTGTTCACCCTTCACCATTCCACTGCATGCTGCTGACTCCATCTCCTTCAACTTGGTCCGCCTGATGCTAGGGAAAGAAAACCAGAATTAATGTTCTTTAAATGCTCAAATGGTGTGCCATTATGTTTCAACATTATGAACACCCACACTGTAACTATCTATAATACCTACTAGTCATTAAAATGCAAAGATGAGCTAAAGAAAGCAGGTATTATAATTACCAACTGTATATTTCTCTAATCTACCAGCATTCAAAGCAAATAACTAAGCAGGACCCTGGTATCTCACACCTGTAATCCTAGCTACTCAGGAGACTGAGATCTGAGGATTGTGGTTCAAAGAGCCTGGGCAGGAAAATCCATGAGACTCTTATCTCCAGTTATCCACCAGAAAACCAGAACTGGTGCTGTGGTTCAAATGGTAGATTGCTACCCTTGAGCTAAAGAGCTCAGGGACAGCACCCAGGCCCAGAGTTGAAGCCCAACACTGACAAAAAAGAAGAAGAAGAAAAAAAAGCAATTAACTACATCATAATATCTTTAAGTATTTCCATCTGGGTTTTTTTTTGCTTTTTAGTTTCCTTTGGGTAATTTCGTAAGACAAGGCCCAAGCTGGCCTTAAACTAATTACATAGTCTAGGTTAGCTTTGAACTTGTAAGCCTCCAGCCTCAACCTTCTGAGAGCATAAACTTTCATGTCTGGCTTGCTTTTGGTTTTCAAGTGATATTTAGGAACTACTTTTAGAGACTTGAGAGCAAAGTGATGCAAAAAACCTGAGATTAGGGGCTGGGAAGGTGGCTCAGTGGTAGAGTGTTTGCCTTGCATGCATGAGGCCCTGGGTTTCATTCCTCAGCACCACATAGGCAGAAAAACGTCAAAAGTGGCACTGTGGCTCAAGTGGTAGAATGCTAGCCTTGAGCTGAAGAGCTGAGGGACAGCGCCCAGGCCCAGAGTTCAGGCCCATGACTGACCAAAACAAAAAAACACACACAAAAAAACCTGAGACTAGAATCACCAAGCGTGGTTCTGAATTTCATCTCTGCCTCTTACTAGCTAGGTGTACACACATTACTGAGACTTCCTAAAGCCTCAACAGTCTCATTTGTTTAGAGGGGTCAGGCAGGTTGTTGTGAGCATGAAAAGATATAACACATCCAAACATCTGACTAAATATATACAATGGCACACAGGAAATAGTCAGGAGTTACTGGTCTATTATCACCACTAGGAGTTTATCACCTAGGGCTGCCAAGAGTAAATCTACAAAAACTTGACTTTTAACAGGGAATGGAGACACTATGTGAAATGGCTGAACTAATCTCATCCTTCAAAATCTACTTACCGGGGGTGGGAGGGAGGGGGGAAGGAGAAGGATTGGGATGGGGGAGGGGGGAGGCTGGGAAGGGATGGGAAGGGTAAACAAAGGAGG